GCTGGAGGCTGGAGGCAGTAGTGAAGCCACCTCCCCATTAAGCCGCGGGGGGGGGTTGCACCAGCCGTTTGCTGGAGCAAAGGGAGATGCCTCCCGTTGGGACAGCTCTTGCTTTGGCGTATCCAGGGCAAGGGTGAGGCTGGTGCAAAGGCCTGAACGAGCAGGGGACGGGACGGGCTGTCTGCACTGAGGATCTGGTTTTGCTGGAGGCAGTAGTGAAGCCAAGCAGCACCTCCCCATTTCTGCTGCTGCAGACCTGCCGGTCCCCCCGCCGTGAGAAATACCGGGGTGGGGTAGGAGCAGAGGCAGGGGCCGGGGTGCCCTTGCTCCATTTCCCATTGCAGGGGCGGGACAGCAGAGCTGGCAGATGTGGGAGACTGGGGGCCAGGCTCTCCTGGAGTCAGGCCATCCATCCTTTCCCTGGCCCCCAGCCTGGATCCGAGGGTTTTGCTCCCAGGCTGCCCCTTATGCACACAGCCATTCGCCTTTTGTTGGATGCGAGCGTGCAGCTTTCCCTTCCAAGGGGCGTAAAGTGGACGGATGCTTCCCAACGGGGAGAGGGAGGGTGGGAATGAGGTTGCAAACTTCGAAGAGCGGGCGGGCGGGGTGGGAAGGGGAGGGGAACAGCAAAATCCGGGCGCAGCTGATGGCGTACGTGGAACGAGGAGAGCACACGTTTCCTTAACCAGAGCTCGAGCCCTTGCAAAGCATCTGGGAGCTGGGCTGGCTGCCCACAGACATTCTGCACCTCTGAGTCACGCTGCAGCCTGCTGCACCCTGCATGGCGCAGCCCCGCGCAGCCCCCTCCCCAACCCACCCCCCCCCCGGGGGCAGCCATCTCATGGGTCCCAGGGCCGGGAGGAGTGTGGCCGCCCGCATCTGGGCTTGCCTGGGTGCTGGGTGCAGGGAATCCCCCCTCCTTCCCCTCTCCTCCCTGGGAAACGAGGTTCAGCTCCCTGTGGAGCATCGCCTCTGGCATCCCTTGCTTTGCAGCCCGCTCCCCACTGCTGCTGTTATGGGGGGGGGGGGTCACCATTGCTTGTGGGGGACAAATTCCTCCCCCCCCCTTGGCAGTACCTAGGGAGCACAGTTAGGCTCCCCCATGGGAAGGTGAAGGGGGGTGATGCCTCCTTGATGCCGGCATTTTCATGCCAGCCCAGCAGATGCAAGGTCAGGAGGGACCAGGCAGCAAGGGGCTCTCGGGTGTAGGGTCGTGTCCTTAAGCCAGCGGTGCCAGGCTCAGCTCCCCCGAGGCTCAGCGCTGCTGGTCGAAGCCTGCCACGGTTCTTAAATTTAAGTCAGTCTTCTGGCAGTTCAGGAGCAACCGAAGTGGGGATTGCGGGTTTGGGGCTCTGGGTGTTGAGTTTCAGGCGAGAGCAGCAGACTCCGCTCAGGTGGCCATGACGTGCCAGTTTGTCCAAGCCCTGTTAGTGGCTTGGGAAGATGACCTTCGGCAGAGCCGATGGCTGGGGGGGGGGGTCACAGCAGGGCGAGGACCGCTGCGCTCTGGGCATCTGTCCACCGAGCCCTGGTGATGCTGCCATGGGGGAACCTGGGCTGAGCCAGCACCGCGGCTGTGCCAGGGAGCATCATCTCGGGTGTGAAACACAAAGTGAACGTCCAGGAGGTTTTTGGTCGTTGAAGAGCCAAAGGCAGGCGCTTTCCCCCAAAGCCCTGGTTTCCCACCCTGGTGCTGGTGGGTGGATGCGGTGGGGGCCGTTGGGTGGGCTGGTCCCCCCCGCTCCTGCCCTGACCCCCTTGTTATTAGGGAGTGTTACACACTGCTCCACCTAAGCCTCGGGTTGAAGATGTCTCTTTTAGAAGAGCTTTGGGCTCCTGTGAGTTGAAGGCTCTCCTAAAAAATGGAAGCTATTTTTCCTAACTTAGAGGGGGGGGATTGCTGGCTGCCACTCGCTGGAGCCGGAGCGTTTGATTTACAAACAGTTTAATCTGAGGAATGCAGCAAAATGGAGAAAGCCGAAGCGAACACGCTGCACACCGCTGCAAACCCCTGGAGAAATGACGCTGCAGAGTATTTGCTGCCGTGGACACTGTCCGGGCCGGGCTGCTGCGCGGGTCCCTGCGGGCTCGGCCCCTGCCCGCCGCAGCTCTGGGCAGCCCCGGGGCACCGCGGTCACCCTCCGGCTCGGTGCTGCTCGGTGCTGGCTCGGTGCACGCACTTGGGTGTGGGCAGGTCGAGGGCACTGGAGAAGGGTGCATGGGAAGCCAACACCCCAGGAATTTTTTTGGGGGGAGGGGAACATCCCATTTTATCCAAGACCTGTTTTCCATTTCTTCTTTCTGCCCTTCTCCCACCCCTCCTGCTTCCAGCCCGTTCTTCCCGCTCAGCTCCAGTTATTTTAAGTTCCCTTCCTAGCATGCTTCAAAGACGCAGCATTTCACCCAGACACCCGGTTAAACCTTCCTCCGTGGTCTGAGCCCAGCTCAGTCTGGCAGAGCTGGGCGCTGAGTCCATGCACTCGTGTTTTTTTAACCTTCATCTATTTTTTTTTTTGCCGGCAAGGGCGGGTGCAGGACAGAGACTGTCTGTGCCCCCTCCACCCTGTCGGTCTCCCCGTGCCCCACGGCCACCCCACGCAGAAAGCAGCTCCTGTTCCCCCGCGGCCGGTGGTGCCTTTGCCCTCGAGCCTCTTGCCTGAATCATCCCTTGTTTACTGCCGTGGGAGAGGAAAATCAAAGTTTGGCCAAAGCACCATCAGGCGGGATTTTATTTGTGGCTTCGACTGGTGTTGCTGCGGGGGGGGACACGGATGCTCGAACCCCCCTCCCCTGTGCTGGGTTCCCAGTCCTCTTGCCCACCACAAAAGGGCGGCGGCGTGGGGACGCAGTGCCAGGCAGGAGCAAAGGGCTGAGCCGTGCCGCTGGCTCCGGCAGCGTCCCGGCGGGGCGCGGGGCTGCCGGGCTCTCTCACGGCTGCAGCATGCGAGGGCTGGAGGGAGGCGCAGACAGAGCAGATACTTGTTTTCCTCCTCCTGCAGAAAAGTTCAGCCAGAGGCTGGGGAGCCATTTAATTAAGTGGCCAATTCGCGCGGTCTTGGGGAGATGAGCAGCCCGGCTCTCCGGTGGCACTTCATCTTCTCTGGCTTTACGGAGGGCGATGGGGACGGCCTGGAGCTCCATCCGGCAGCGTCGTGCCCTGGGCTTATGGGACGGTGGCTCATGGAATGGCAGCTCTCAGCTGGAAGCAGCCACAGGCTCTTCTCTTACCCACTCAGCACGAGGTGACTGTGCCTCGCCGTGTCTCTGCACCCACTCCAGTTGGCCTTGGTGGCTTCGTCCCTCCTGCTCATGCCAGCAGTGCCGGGACCCTGGGGGACCTCCTCCTCCAGGTCCTCTGCTGAGTTTTGGCAGTTGGCAGCACTTCTTTCACGACAAGTCTTTATTTCTTGCTCTTTTTTCATCCCTTCCTCTCTCTGGAGCCTGTCTCCTTCCCTCCAGCCGTCTCTTCTGCATCTCCTTTTCCATCTCCATTCTCTTGGACCGTGCATCTGTTAGCATTACTTCATCCCACCCACGAGTCATAGAATCATAGAATAGTTTGGGTTGGAAGGGACCTTTAAAGGTCATTTAGTCCAACCCCCCTGCCATGGGTGGGGACATCTTCAACTAGAGCAGGTTGCTCAGAGCCCCGTCCAACCTGACCTGGAAT